ATAACTTGGTACACGGTTGCTTCGTTCGTGCACGATCAACGACTGTATGGACACCCTAGGAAAGTACTGTCACATGACGCTTGAAATCAGGAATAATTCATTGCTAGACAACGGCTCGCCAGGCACTTTTCCGCAGCAACGAAAACTGAAAGTTGTAAACATGTAAAAACCGGAACCGTTGCTAAGAAATTAACACGCGTTTCGTAGCAACGGGCAAAGAGAATTTTGAGGTGGTAATCTCTATTCGGTTCGTCCGGAAGTTATAAAAGGAGAACACGTGAGAACGCTGAGTCGGTTCGATAATTCATTCATAAGTGAGCCGCCATTAGGCATTCATTCATTCGTAATACCCGTAGTTCAGTGTTCAGCTGTGGAGTGCAAACCAGCGGACATCGTAAGCTGAAGAAGTGACCGACTCGTAAATCAGAACCAAGTCAGTCACGTAGAAGAGAAGACACTCGTAGTCCAGTAAGGAACGTAGAGAGTTTTAGGCGGCCATTGATTGTGAGCTGTTATAATTGATTGTAGTTGCAATATAATATGCCAATAAAACCAATCATCCGATCCAGAACTCATTATTATTAATCATGGAACCCCGGACACGTGACAGTGTCATGGGGTGACAAGAACTTTGTGATCTTCGTATACTGACATACTGAGAGGAATGTAAAGGACCAATGGTTAACATTTCTGCTGAGAAAGAAGAAAGATCTCTTTCAGAATTATGGGCGAAATTTCGTACGATGATAAATGCGTAACTTGTAGTAAGGGCATCGCCTCCTTAAAAAGAAAGCAACTAGACCCGCGTACTACACTCGTAAAGTGCAAAATTAATTTTCAGTTTCTCAGTCCGAAATTATAAATTATACCTTACTTATTTACTTACTCACTCACTCATGAAGCTGAGCCCTTCTGGAGGAGCCGCCAATTCTGCAGCTACTCAAGAATTTCCCAGCATTTTATGGAACCCGAAGGTTCATTACTGTGTTCACAAGAGCCCTCCATTGATCCTATCCTGAGTCAGATCAATCCACTCCATACCATCCCATACTATCTCTCTAAGATCCAATTTAATATTGTCCACCCACCTACGCCTTGGACTTCCCAGTGGTCTCTTTCCTTCTGGCTTTCTCACCAATATACTATACCCATTCCTAGTCTCCCCCATTCGTGCTACATGCCCTGCCCACCTCATCCTCCTACACAACAAAATTTCGTAACATGTAGGAATATAAACATATCTTATGAATGTTACTTTTGTCTATATTTGGGTTGAAGATCATATATTTGAAATTAATTACATTCCATAAAGTGCCCAGTATTGTAAAAAATTCTTTCACTGAAAGATTTGTAAAACTGCGTCAGTGCATTATCATCATTGTTGCGGCCGCTCCATAGCTCAAGCAGGTTTTTTATTGCTAGTGGGTTGGGACTAAGTCCCTTGTACTGCGGCCACTTCTGGCCTATTGTACCAGCCCCAGATGATAGGTGAGGGTGATTGTGGAGCAGTTGGTGGAATGAAGATTGGCAGGGGAAACCGAAGTACTCGAAGAAAACCTGCCCCAGCGCCACTTTGTCCACCACAAATTCCACTTGACCAGACCGGAGCCCCAAACCGGGCCGCGCCATAGTTCAAGCGGTTAGTCGCTGGCTTCCCACCGCGGCGGCCCGGGCCTGGTAAAGTTGGATTTGTGGTGGACAAAGTGGCTCTGGGGCGAGTTTTCTCCGAGTACTTCGGTTTCCCCTGCGAATCTTCATTTCACCAAATTCTCCATCATCATAATCACCCGGGGCAGACTATAATAGGCCGCCGTGCCGAGTGAACCCAACTGGACTACACCCCCCACTAAGCGAATTTAATTTTTTAATCATCAGTGTTAAATGGCAAAAGAGCCCTTTGTAAACCGTAGCCTTCCTTAGAAGATTCGTCTGCAGATCAACCGGTTTTCACTTCTTTGGATTTCGCGAAAAATATTTTTGTTTACAGAGGAAGGTCGTCAGCCTCGGGTCCGATTTCCAACATGGTGGGCAAGGTCTTTTTATTTATATCTTCCAGTGACAGGATGGCCCAGATATACCCCCAGGAACCAGGTACTTTTCGTCGCCTCCTACGTCTCGGGGGGCTATGGTGGAGGCATTGTGTCTCTGCCACCTTCACACAGAAAGTTAATATATTATACCCAAACGATAATTAATTTAAAAGTTTCACTGCTTTTTGTGTGAAGCAATTTAAAATTACAGTATTTTCTATTTTTAAACTGATTGATATTATTTAATTCACTGTTGCTCAAATTCAGCTGAAACAGCAGGGACTTCCTTCCCCTGCTCACATTAACCATCAGGGTCCATTTTGTTAATTCTAACGTCTTCATCATTCTGAAAGTCTCATATATTTTTCTCTGTTCATTCTTCTTCCACTACATTATTTAATCGTTTATTAGCATTAAATAATTAAATGTATTTAATTTTATCTGACTGACTCTGCTTTGTTGTAATTACAATTTTTTTATAGGGCCTTATACTTTAATTAAAATTACTCTGAAGTCCCTTCTAGACAGTTCGTTTTTCTTTCAGCTGGATTCTCGATTTTGCCAGAATTATTTCTCTCGTGGATACGCTACGAATACAAATAAACTAAAAAGAAGTGTAGAAAATAAGATGAAAATGCATATAGGAAGATGCGCATAAACAAATTGAGAGAGAACCAGGAACTATGCAAATTTATACATAAAATATTGCACGTACATATAAAAACCCGTTCCTTTATGTGAACATTTCCGAGGAGTTCCTATATTGCGGCTGTATTGTTCATTGTCGATCGATAAGTATTTTGTGGACTGTTCCACTCTTACTAGAATGTGGAAAAAAAAGATCTTGTTTGTTTTGAGTTTTCCATAGCGTTGACTTTGAATAGCACTGTCTTTTTTAATGTGATGCCATGTAGCTTGGCAGTAGTTCAGAGCACCTTTCGTCCTTCTTGTTTTACTTATTTGGCTTACCCTTTAACCCTGAAGACGGAGGCCACATGATGTTCCGAATTGTACTTCGGCTTTTAATGGACTACATGGCAGTATAATGCATGCTTTCCGTGACCATTACTTTACTATTATTTATGACCGAACAAGTTTACTCAAGCGACGATATTTCTGACTGCTTTCTTTATAAGAAACTTTACGAGTTGTCACACCCTCAAACGAATTAATAAGTATCAAGGCCCATCAAATACAAAAAAAAAATAATACTTCGAAAGCCTTTACATATTTCGGCCTTTGTTGGTCATCGTTAGAAGGCCAAGCCGAAGCTACAAAGTTTTCCTGGTGGTCTACGTCCCTTTGACTTTCCCACCAAAACCCTATATGTATTCCTCTTCTACCCGTACGTGTTGCATCCCCTAAGAATCATATCCTCCTTGTCTTAATCATTCTATTTATATTTTGTGAAGGGTACAAGTTCTGAAGCTACTCTTTATGCAATTTTTCCCAACCTCCGAGTATTTCATCCCTCTTCAGTCCAAAAATTATAATACTTTAATTTTCACGTTTGTAGACAGGAGGGGAGATAAAATGTGGCAGTTGTTTACGAGTGGCGAGAGTTAAACCAATCAACGTCAGTCGGTCTTCATTGATGTCTCCGTTGCATTTAAAACTTAACAAAATATTTTCGTGAAAGTAGTCTTTCAAATGACTGTTTCATGTTAGTGAAGTTTTGCTGTGTTTCTAAGAAACGGAAGATCAACAAACCGAATATTTCACAGACAAACTGGAAGCGTTAAGACTAGATCTGAAGTATTTAATTACGTATTTCAAGCAAGGGGCGGGAATTGACGGTTTGTATAATGGATTGCCATGTTGCAAAAACCACCGCTGACGAATGCGGTGTCAGTCTTAATGACAGTTAAGTTCAAACAAGGTGATTTGGCAACATTACAATTTTTATCTGTCCCTATCGGTTTAGCAAGCTCCCATATTGTTAGAATCATACATAGAACAACAAAACACTAAATATACACATATTTATATACAATATATACAATTGAATTTCTCTATTTAAAGTCAAATGGTGACGTTCTGTCAGATTATGTGGTGCCGAAGAATTTCATTACGAGAATCTAGAAAATCATTACTGGGTTAGAGTGACTGTCCACAGATATCCCTCTCTGAATTTGGATGATGCAGTATAATATAAATGAGCTATTGCATATTATGTGTGTGACACGAAATTAGTGTACTTTAGAAAAGGTTACAGATACAAACACGAAGTGACTTGAAAACAACGAGGAATCTCATTAAGATTTCGTTGGCATATCGGTCGTGAGTGGCGCTCTGAACGCAATCAAGGAAAAATGGCGTCTTAAGTACAAAAAGCACAGTAATACTAGTAATTTGACGAGACGGGATCCTTGTGGTTTCCCAGATCCCCGGATCTTACTGCATGCGACTTATTCCTATAGGATATGTGAAATATCGTGGTATAGGAGTACCAACCTCCAGCGGCACAGTTTATTCGAGAATTTCAATAGCGAATTTCACAGACCATAACCAAAGTCGATGGGTCAGTTGCGGCATAAATGGGAAAATTCGAATATCGTGTTGACGTTTGCAGAGCAACCAGTAGAACAGGTATCTAACCTCTCTAATAATACATAATATATTTATTATATTCCTGCCAGCACAAGATTATTACCTGATCTCCCAAATCATTCATTATAGTCCGTCTATAGAAAATATACTAATATCCTATTACCTAAATCACTCCTAATCATCCTGTGAATAAAATATATACTAATAATTTCTTTTGACCCCAAACACTCATAACAGCCGGTATATAGAAAATATATTAATTTCCTGTCGCAAAGGTCGCCTAGTAACTTACGAAAATGTGCAGTGTTTCGAGAGAGATCTGAATTCATGACTCTAAGTTTATGAAGTTCAAGAGAACATTGTGATGAGGAGAAAAGAGTTGTCGAACGAAAGCGTTATGTGTCGTACCGTATGTTGCAGGACGTGAAGATGAAACTGGAGCACGACGGGAGATTCTCTTGTGGCACATTGCTGCTACTGCTGTAGAGGCGGCAAGCCGCAAGATAAACCAGGCCAACTGGCGTCCTCCCCGGTTACACTGTCTGTCATGGGTAAAGGTGACAAGAGGGGCCATGTGCAGCGTGCTGATGGTAAGTCAAAAAGTTTTGATAAGACTCCCCGGAGTGTAAAATTTACTTTCCATACACATGTCGTGGGTCAGAATAATTCAGTCGGTATAGCGACGGGCTACTGGCTGGACGACCTGGGTTCGATTCCAGGTAGGAGCAAGCTTTTCTCTTCTTCACAGCGTCCAGACTGGCTCTGGAGCCCGCAAATTTCCTACTTAATGGACACCGGGGTAAAGCGGCCAAAGCGTGAAGCTGACCACTCACTTCCATTCAGTACCGAGGTCAAGAGTGACGTGGCTATAACTCCATTTCCTTATGTGTCTTGCTGGGGTTGTGATTAATAAATTAAGCACAGGAACAAATTTATCCCCTTTTTGCCTTTTACACGAGGCATTTAGAAATAACGGATAAAGCCCTGGTATTTGCAACTGAACAAAAATACCTAATATTAATATTATATGAGTTATATTTTTCACATAACAAAGATTTAAATTACAAGACAGCATGGACTGGCAACGACGTGGATGTTAATGTAATTTTGAAAGAATCGCAAAATCTCTCAGCTCGGTGGGTGGCGTTTTGTGACCACCCAGATATGTTTTCCTCGTATCTAGAGATGAAGGCTGGAATATTTAAGATACTAAAGTAGACAAAACAGTGTAATGATACGTTCGCGTAAGAATATTTATTGATAAGCTCTACAGGTATATTGATTTTCTTGTAGCTGATTCTTGCTTTATTATTCATAAGATTTCTTGCCGGTGTCTCATGGAGAGTTCGTTCTCAAAACAAAATATAAATTCATTCTTTCTTGCCAGTGAAGCTGACAACGTTTCAATTTCTAAATAATTATTTAAATCCATATCTAAACCATTTAAATTACTTATTAGAGAAATGATAATTGAGACCTGGTTTGAATATTCCGGTTTAACTTAATACAAGGCAATAGACCTACGTAGATCAGTTCTCCCCTCCTGCAATTAAGGAAAATTTAGGACTTTGACGTATTGTAAGGAAAACATTAATTCAGCCTGATGATATAATTATCTTGCGATTAATTTATAGACAGTAGGGGTTTGTTCTTGTCCTGCCTCCCAGTAAACCCTTACGTATAAGTTCAAACATCTCTTAATAGCAAGGGGAGATGCTCAGTCAGGTTAACAGACGAAAGTACGGTTATGACAGAAATGACGAATATAATTGCCCTTAATCTGACAATAGAAGGCACGTACGTCACGGCTAGTTAATATTTTTTTCCCCAAAATTTATCTTTCAGCATTCTTGCTGACTATTTGCGAAAATTCCTCTTCTATTTTTATAAAAATTAAAGGTCCCTGTAACAGGCCGTGAAGGCCCATAGGGTTGTGAGAGGTTGAGGTTCCCACATTTTCTAGACAATCGGCTCATTGATGGCGGAAAGATTGTCAGCCTTACGAACCGGCCGCCCTTTACCCCCAGAATATTCCTAGAATATTCTTGGTACTCATTTCTGCTAGAGGCTGAGTCGACACCAGGAATAATAGTGCTGCTGAAAGGATTAGGTCAATTGAAAAAATCCAATGACCCCATCTGGACTTGAACCCGCAACCTTCCGGCTTGTAGCATAGTGCCTCAACCAAGTAAGCTACTGCGTTCCCCCTTATATTTTTATAAGAAACAACATATCTCCTCATTAAAATAAGTGCTACTTCAAAATAAACTGAATCTCAACTACTATTTGATGCAAAACCGTCGAATGATAAAGACACTCGATCCATCAACAGCGCCTGTCTTGTTATCTGTCGGACCTGATATATCAGAGGAGGACATCTTTGTCAGTGAACAGCGATAGAGACGAATTGCTGTTCGCTCCGCTTCGCGGCTCAGCGCCCCGAGGATTACATTACGAGATTGTGCATTTGTAAGGATGAGGACATAGCGAGGCCCAAGACGAATGGCAGGAGTAGGGAAGGTCTCCTGTTACCGTTACAGAAGCCCTCCTGCTTTCAGCAGACAGATGAAGGCGGGCATGGCAAATTTTCGCAGCTTCTTGTTCAGTGACTAGGTGCACTTTACGCTCCCAATCCAATCACAGAATCACAATATCTAAGTATACGCTTCTTTCACGAACATTACTGGCACTAAAGAAGAAGATCTGACTGTTGGCAGATCCATCTACCGACAGAACTAGTACTACGGGTAGTACCTCTCCTCCGGTTATTACATATTCGGACACAATCCATGATAGAGCACGGTTTAATATGCCAGACGGCCTCTAAATTTGGCCTCAAACAGACCAGAAGAAGAATAATACTGTCTTCTGGGATGTGGCGCCATGTAGATCTTGTGTGAACCGACGTTTCGGAGGAACATATCGCCTCCATCTTCAGGGTAGAAGAATCCGTGCGCGAGGAACTGCTTGAGCATGTGGCTGCAGCCACTGTTTGGCTTATTGCATCAGCCCCAGATGATAGATGATTGCATCTGTGGAGCAGATAGAGGATGGAAACTGACAGGGGAGACAGAATTACTCGGAGCAAGCCTGTCGCAATGCCACTTTGTCCACCAGAAATCCCACATGAACTGAGCTGCGCCCAACACGGGCCGCTGCGTTGGGAAAGCGACAACTAACAGCCTGAGCTATGGCACGGCCTACCCATACAGTAGTTCCTGGCTAAATGTGTTCCCATTTGACGTTGATTCTATTTTCACACCAAGCCTCCGTACAGTGTTAGCTCGTTATTGCCTCGTTCTTCATCGCAGAGTTTAATAAAAAAGGGCGATGAAGAGGTTCAGTCGCCCAAAGAAGTGTTTAATATTGACGGGACCGGGCCCTCATCCATCACTAGCTCGCTTCAACTTTGGCCACCAGTGAACACAGTATATCATGCCAAATTTAAACAAACGCTATTGAAGTTTATGATTGCATATATTTATAGCCGGCAATATACACGTACTTGCAGGTCACAGCAGCCGCTCGGACGCTGGGATCATGTGTTCGAATCCCACTCAATGTATGGATGTTTGGTGTTTGTTTGCGTTTATTCTGTGTTTGGGTTGTCCTTTGTTTAGGTAGCAGCCTTTCGGCGGGCTGATCACTCGTCCAAGGAGTCCTACCGTCTGTAAGATTATCAAAATGAAAAAAACAACCTCGACACCGTAAAGGTATAAGAGGAACGGATTAAGTAAATATGTATGCATGTAAGGGGTGGGCCATAAAAACCGGCCCCACCGCACTGCGACCTTCAATGTTCTATTGTGCTTCCCCTTGGATTAGCCATTTATTAATCCTACACTTTTAATAAGTAGGACCCTGCTTATGGGGGCGTCATAAAAGTCACTTGGTTCCATAAAGAACTGACCCAAGTAACGAAATCTTAAATAAGCTAGGGCCTCACAATCACACAGGATGTGTGCGGCTGATTCGTTTCCTATAGGCACCTTTCACAAGTTGGGTTATCTATCAGTCCAAACCTGAAAAGGTGTCCTTTCAGGTGGCAGTGTCCGGTAAGTAATCCTACCACTCATCTTAGTTGATCTCTGTTTAACCTCAACAGATCCTTCGTTCTTCTGACAGAGGGTCCTGCTATAAAACCCTTTGCCTGTTTGAGTCCAGTTGTGGTTCAGGTCCTGTGAACAGCTGTTCAGATCCTGTTTTGCCAGCAGATCTGCTGTTTCATTCCGTGCAATACTCTCCTACTGAGACGCCGCAAGCTGGTTCAGATGTTCAGATCCTGTTCTTGCCAGCTGATCTGCTGTTTCATTCCCTGCAATACTCTCCTACTGAGATGCCGCAAGCTGGTTCAGATGTTCAGATCCTGTTCTTGCCAGCTGATCTGCAGTTTCATTCCCAGCAATACTCTCCTACTGAGATGCCGCAAGCTGGTTCAGGTCCTGTGAACGGCTGTTCAGATCCTGTTCTTGCCAGCTGATCTGCTGATCTGCGGTTTCATTCCCAGCAACACCCTCATGGCCTGGCACCCATATCAGTTGTACTCTGATAAGTAAGTAAGTACGAGTATTTTCTTATTGCTAGTGGGGTAGGACTAAGTCCCTTGTACTGCGGCCACTTCTGGCTTCTTGTACCAGCCCCAGACGATAGGTGAGGGTGATTGTGGAGCAATTTGTGGAATGAAGATTGGCAGAGGAAACCGAAGTACTTCGAGAAAACTTGCCCCAGTGCCAATATGTCCACCACAAATCCCACTTGACCAGACCCGAGATCGAACCCGGGCCGCGCGGTGGGAAGCCAGCAACTAACAGCTTGAGCTATGGCGCGGCCAAGTAAATAAGTAATATACAAGTACTTGGCGGTCACAGTAGCCGCACGGTCTAATGTATTAACTGTCTTTGCTCGCTTGAACACTGGGATCGTGGGTTCGAATCCCACTCAAGGCATGGATATTTGGTGTTTGCATGCGTTCATTCTGTGTTCGTGTTGCCCTGTGCTTAGGTAGAGACCTTGAGACGAGCTAATCTCTCGTCCAAGGAGTCCTACCGTCTGTAAAGTGACCAAGAACCCGAGAAATCAGCCAGTCATTCGAAACTACAGGCCCAGAGTCTAAGCGACTAGCAGCATCATTAAATTAATTAAAAAGATAAACAGGAATTAATAGTAGTCAAGGGTTGCCCTTGAAGGTCGTGCCTCCAGGCTGGAGGACTATATATATGAACCACGATAGTCCTTGATGATGATGACGGAGAAAATCTCCGAAGACGTTGGATTTATGTTCACAAGTGGCGTGGCAGTTATCCCGAGAATATTTCATGGCATTGTAAGGTATTGTTTAAAATTTCTCCCTGTCGACAAGTTAGCGTCCTTCAAGATGTAAGAAATATTTTAGGTTATGTTCGGAGCCTACCTCTATGTAACATCACTCACACTCCAGCGCTGAGACTAGATCCACAAAACCTTCAATTTATTTGATAGAGGAATTATTTCCTTCGAAGTAAATCGGTCAGAGCATAAAGCTGAACATCTTCACCTAGCGTTGAGACTGAAAATGTGTGACCTCGATCCCCACGTGTCTTCTGAACCGGAA